TGTTTTCCAAATGTAATTCTGTTTTTCTAATATAATTCCATTTTTTCCAAACGTAACTCCATTTTTCTAATGTGATTCTGTTTTTTCAAATGCGATCTTGGCCACTTCCGCTTCGGCCACTTCCGCTTTGGCTTAATGTAATTCCCTTTTTTCCAAACGTTGTGTTTTTGTTGTGTTTTTTCAAATGGTGTTCATTTACACCTCAGGGCCACCGTAACAACGTGTATCAGACATGCTTACTGTGAAACTGAGCTTGCTCAGCGTGAACAGTTTGGGTGTCTTCTCCTTGACTGGTGCTGGTGGTGGAGTTGAGGGTGGATGAAGGGGGCTGGGTGTACAGACTTGGACAGCGATCTCTAGTGACTTTTGACCCTCTGGGCTCAGGGCACTCTCCTCCTTGCTGCTACCAAAATGCTCTTCAAAGGAGTGAATGGACTCTTGAGGTTCAGGGAGGCTGACAGACAGAGAAACAGACATAATGAGACTTAAAACATTATTAAAAGTACAGGTTCTGGGCTAAGAAAAAATCAACAGTGTTTTCCAATGGGGCAGGGGCAAGAAGAAGTGCCTGCTACGATCCCAAACACTGCCTCCTACTTTGTCAATTATTAATTTCACCTTACCATTTCTGACTATCATCTTTATCCAAATACTAATGCAAATACAAATTTTTAAAAAATCATACGGGATCCCAAAAATTAAAACAAGAAGGGGACCATCGTCCCAGTACAGGTCCCTTATAAAGCTTTCTGTCCCGTCTCTTCCATGTTTCTGACTGAAAGCAGCTCTGCAAGAGACAAGTTTACTTTAAATTTTGACTTCAAAAGACACTCTGGGCCTCAAAATACTCTAACTTGAATTAACAAAAAAGGTTGAATCATGTCATCTGGACTTCGTTTTTTTGTTAAAAGGAAACGTTTCGCCCCTCATCCAAGAGGCTTCGTCAGTCTGAGGCCTAGCCATCTGGTATTACCCAGAAGCCATCCTGACTCTTGTGTTTCAAGCCTGCCTCAGATACCCCTGAAGTCTGGCCTTTTCACTAATGGTTTCAAAAACACAAAGTTTGTTTTCTCAGTCACCCAGGTATATATGGCCAGACTTCAGGGGTATCTGAGGCAGGCTTGAAACACAAGAGTCAGGGTGGCTTCTGGGTAATACCAGATGGCTAGGCCTCAGACTGACGAAGCCTCTTGGATGAGGGGCGAAACGTTTCCTTTTAACAAAAAAACGAAGTCCAGATGACATGATTCAACCTTTTTTGTTGTTATATACCTGGAT